AGCAGAAACCAGGAACAGATTGGGGTCTGGAATAAGGAGGACAGGAACAGGCATGGCTCAGGAGTCAGGCAGGTCGGCAGGGTCTGTAGTAACAGCCAGCCAAGGATTCATCTAGTTGCTTGGGCAACTTCCTGTGCCTCTTTCTGGTTTAATAGAGCATCCCAGCAAATTGGTGGAGCTGGACTTTCCCCCCAATCAGGAGCTTTGTGGCCAGGGGGCCTTTGCAAGCTAGAGCTTCACTGGCCCCCTACTGCACTAGTTCAGGGAACTGCTAGGAGGCAGCAGTCGTCTGAGCCTGGCCTGGGTTTGAGGATCATGATCCCTCACATTTTGTTCCTCTTCAGTTCCATTCAAAGAAGCTATTTCTCTGTACTTAGCCTCTACATCAGCCAATGTCACTGCTTTCTATCCATTAGAGCCTATTAACTTTGTAGGACCACTTATATCTTTTGAGTGCATTATGCAGGATTCTGTATCGTAACTTGTTCTGAGGTGTATTTCTAAAATCACAGCAGTGTCTTACATGAAAAGAAGTGGAGTACTTGTGGCACCTTAGAGACTAACAAATTTATTAGAGCATAAGCTTTCGTGGGCTACTGCCCACTTCTTCGGATTATACTCTAATAAATTTGTTAGTCTCTAAGGTGCCACAAGTACTCCTGTTCATTTTGCGGATACAGACTAACACAGCTGCTACTCTGAAACATGAAAAGAAGTGTTACAAACGAGAAAAATCCATCTGGTCCCCACTATAATTGAACATTTTTCATTGCTTTCAACATCACCTTCCAGTTCTTTACTATACTCCCCAATTCTCTCCTTCCCCAGAAACCAGAGTACCAGTAGGTATCTCTTGAACTGTGCTTTAGCTGCCTTCCCTGCAGATTTTTTCACATTATTCTTGTTAAACAGTTCAGCTCAGGTTCTGTAGTTTTCTCCTTTTAGTTCACATTGTCTATTGGGTGAACACTTCCCCACTGGGAAAATATTATCTGTCACTTTTACCAATCCCTTTTATAATCTAAAAAAGGTTTTCCTGGATTACCACAAAATATCTTTTTAAGTAAGAACAAGCCTCAAGTCCTAGCCTTTCCACATATTTAATATTTTTGAAATCACGTGTTAGTGTTTTATTGTATTCTACCTAGTAATTCTGCCCTTCTCTCCACAGTAATGCAAGGTAACTTCTTTTAGCTTTCATATGTTGCAATCTGTGAATTATTAGCAGATTAAAATTAGTCAATACAGTAACTCAGATCTAGTTACATTTTATTTAAAGGAATAGTAATTATTATATCCTATTGGGCATTCTTTGAGCAATACTCATCAGGGTTAGTCTGTGATCAATATAAGTATCTAGTGCTCTTTCAAGTAAAGTTGCAAAGGCACTTACCTGGCAATTAGTCACTGATTCTTAAGGTATGTCTACACTTGCAGAGTTTTTGCTCTGTAAATTTCACCAGTGATAGGGAACCAGAAAAAGTAAAGCACTAGTTTGTGTACTCACTTAATTCCTCAGGCATCATAGAGTGTTTACATTAGCAGCACTTCCACTGGGGATGAGAGCAGGACGCTAGGGCAGCTATCCCACAGTACAGGTCTCTCCAGTTTGATGATGGGTCTTGTGGGAAGGGGGGGGGGTGTGATTGTGGGGCAACCTGGGTCCCTGCACAGCCTCCTCTCCCCAAACACGGACAAGCTCCAGTAGCTCAGCATTGCTCCAAGCAGGGGATCCTTTGCTCTGTGGAGCAGGCATTGTCACCTGGCCAGATAAGTGAGCATTTGCCAAGAAAATAGGAAGGGGAGTTTCAAAGTTCCCAAGGCTTTAAGGGGGTTGGGTGGATGTCTGTTTACCTAGCAGCAGAGCTGCTGGCTAGAGTGGTCACCTAAGCACTGTGGAGTATCCTCAGGAGGCTAAAACCTGTGTAAACAGGAAGAAAGTGTCTTCACTTGCCACGGCTCGGGGAGGGGGCATAGCAGAGGTGAGTTGGGGTGGGGAGCCCTGTGGCAGCTCCCCCCCCCCGCCCTGAGTCACCCCCGTGGCAGCTCCCCACCCCAGCTCACCTCTGCTCCGCCTCCTCCCCAAACATGCTGCCCCCACTCTAATTCTCCTGATTGGTGCTGCAAGCCTGGGAGGCGGGAGAAGTGGAGCGCCGACCGCGTGCTCGGGGAGGAATGCTGTAAAAAAAAAATGCTGTATTTATTTTGGGATAAATTAATTCAGGTAAGCTCTTTGTGTGCCCCGTGACATCCTTCCTGCTATCTATCCATAAGCAAAATTACAGTGTAATGTAGTACAATTCTCAGCAGCACTTAAATTCAATTAATGTTTTTTTAAAATGCCTGCACGTAAATCTGAATCAATTTTTTTTTATGATGCACAAACCAAGGTTATCAGTTGTACTTCTTTCCTCTAGTCAAATGATTGAATCCACAGCTGTCTCATTGCAGTTTATTATTATTATTATTATTATTACAAATATACAAAAACTTTGACACAAATTGTTTAGTTCTGTGGTATTATGCAATATTGTTGGATTTACAATTACCCCAAAATGCAAAATTAGTTGGATCACGGTTGTTGAAGACTTCCCAGGGGTGGGCAGGGGGAATATTGTGCTATCCTGCAAGCAATAAAAGTATATTTTATACTAGTGTTTCCCAGACTTCTGAAACCTGAGCCTCCCCCTTCATGAAAATGAAACCAATTGTGCCTCTTGCAACCCTTCCATCTTCTAAAGGCCTATCCTTCATAACCTATATGTCTTTTGCACCCTGATCCTGGCTAGTCATTCCTGCTCAGCACTTTGGAAAATGCTGTTGTAGATCGTCATAACTTGATACTTTCTCTCCTTTCTTACATGCTTTGATGAGCAGTGAAACAGTTAACAATGTTTACCTTTTAAACTATTGTTCTTTATATCTGAGTTAGTACCCATTGATATGAATGGTGCAGTTTATACCTCAAAGCTATAGCTTCAGGCTCTTTGCAAGAAGATATCTTTGCATCTGTTGCTCTCAGATAATAGTTAGAAGCTTTTCTTCACAACCATAGCAATTAAAGATTTTGTTTTTAAAGAATAGAGATAAAAGAAAAGTGGAGTTTCTAGAGAAGAATTGAGTCTGTCCACACCTCGATCATTAACTATTTTGGGGGGAGGGGCATTCCACAACTCATATTCTGCTGCTTTAAAGCATTGTTGTCTTCACATTTTCTTAAGTTTATTATATCTCAGAGAATTTAACAAGGTTGCTTGACTGCTCTCATTTGCTGCATGGAGTTTGGAAACTCTGATTTGCTGGCAAATGGTGTGAAAACAGAAAGAACTGGGACATCCTAAACATTGGTTGAAACCGCTCATATGCATTATGATACATTCCTTTATTACATGATCACATACTAATTTTTCCACAGGAACCTTGCCTAATTTAGCGCACAGAGTGATGTATAAGGGGGTAGAATTAAGGTTACCCAGACAAACGTAAATTTGGCATTTCCTAACTTTTAAGTGCTTTACTTTGTAATCTAAATAACTTTCTTTTAATGTAATATTTATGAATAATAATAACAGCAGAATCTTTACAAGTTCATAATGAACCTCACATGTACCTGTTTAAGGTTCATGAACAATGAATCTTTCCAGTGTGTTGCAATTACCGAAATATCTGTGCTAACTGATAATATTTACGCTAATGCACTGAAAATTTAACGTCCAGTAATGATAATTATGAAGTGTATAGGAACATTCAGCTAGTAAGATTACTGAATTGACTTAAAAAATCCTCAGACTATAATATTAGATTTAATATCTAATTACATATTAAATTAAATCTTAGTCTGTTGAGAAAAACAAGGGAAAACTATGTGCTTTGTACTCATAATACCTAGTATCAATATAGGTTCCAGTACAGTATTGGTTTCTGTTCTTAAGTTTTAGGTATTATTTAATTGTACTTGCAGAAGGAGGGGTAGAAAAAGAAATGGAACACTACTTTATTATAATGAGTGTTGGTTCATATTGCAAAGCGGCTTCTATGGCAACACCCTGTTTTCTCATGCTCAGAGCTTTCTGAATTTCCATTCTTGGGTTCTGTCTGAAAATATTTTTTGTTGGAAAATTGGAGTAAAATCCCTGGCAGAGTGGTGAAAATTCACTTCTCCCAATGTTTAAAAACAAAAAATATTCTAAACAGATTTTTTTTTAAATAAAGCACAGATGGCAGATGTGTGAAACTTGGCATGAACTTAGCCATTGTAATTGAGAATTAGTTTGGGGAGTTGAGAAAGAACTCTGGAGCAATTAAAAATTCACTTCTGAGCATGGCCAGAAGATATCTGCTCAGATTTTTACAGAGATTAACGAAGACCCACCCATTTATTACATCACTGCACAATCCCCCAGCCGGGTTTCCTACTTTCGGGCTGTTTCAACATTTTGCACAAGGTTGTAAATGTTTCATTGAATAACGCAAAAAACTCTAGATAAAAACCTCAATGTCAGGGACAGGAGAAAATTACAGTCTTAAAAATACGACAGATGAAGTCACTTTGGGGGATCTGGCAATTTTTGTTGATGCTACAATATTCTCAGCATTCTTTAAAAAAATCTATTCTAGCACTCTAGAAATATCGTCCAGAGTGACAGAATAAATGGTCTGTAAATGGACCCTCTATATTGCTTGGCAACGTGGAAAAAAGAAGTCATCAAAGTGTTCTCTTTTTCTCCTGTTGTTTACATTGAAATAGATGGACATTTATATTTCAGTGGGAATTTTGAATGTATTCAACTCAGAAATTCAACCATATTTGCCACAATGCACAATTCTTTTATGCATGGAGCACGTTCAGTGTTCAACTTCCCACCATAAAAAAGAAAGCCAGCCATGTTTCTAACCTTCTGTCATACAATTAAGACCACTTTTGTAAGCTCAGTAATGCGGATGACTTTGTGATGTATTGTTTTGTCTCTTATGTTTAATCTCTTTGCTTTCACTTTCAGGAGTTGGAATTTTCCAATCTATTTGCAGTCCTTCACTGCATCCACTCATTCTTCGCGGCCAAAGTGGCTTGTTTGGACCCATTGTATGTAGGCAGTCAAGCCGCCACATCTGCTGTTGCCACAACTTCTGGTACTGGCAAATTAAAGTATACTACTTGACATCTTGCATTTCACCACTGCCACTTACCAACAGTACATAACAATGTATAAATATTCATCAAATTTAGACCTTTGGGGAACTGCGAACATGGAAACCAATCCAAGAGGCAAGCCATGCTGCAGTTTCAGCAGAAAAATGGTCACATGGGATCATACATTCATCTCTGTTCTGCAACTCCAGTAAATAATCCTAGCTGAAACCCTGGAATAGGATGGATATGCTTTTAGTATGATCTATTTGTACTTATATAGTGCTTTAAACAACACTGGAAGCAAAAGGAAAAAAATGACACAGTGAAGCACTTAAGTATTTAATAAAATTTTCAGCTGTCTGTAATAATACACAACTAGAATTGTCATTTACTTGTTTTCAGATGTTTTTATATGACAACATACAAAGCTCTGAGTATAACGTAGGGCAATATCATAGTAGTATAAATGATACAACAGCAAGCAAGAGGCATATCGTTTATGACAACAAGGAGATAAGCATGAAAGGGCATTTGTGTATCTCCTCAAAGAAGAAAGCACTTTAAACACTCTTGTAAATTCATACTGTTTTCCTATATGGAAACATGCTATTGTTGTTTATTTTGTTGTCATTCTGTTCTAATAGTAATGATAAAGTTATAGCCATATTGGTCTAGCACATAAAGACAAATATAGTGGAGAAACTTTTACAGACACAGGAGCCTCTTCAAGTCAGAATAGGTGGGATATGAATTTGATTTCAATTATAAATTAAGTACAAGTTAGTGACAAGTTGCTTTGTTCATTCTCCTGTTTTAAAGGGAAGGAGGTCATGTAATTGAACAGTATTTGTACACAAAACCTGAGTTTTGAATTTTGTTTCAGATGTACATCTAGCACATTGTTTCAGTATGTAATGTTGATTTCATATCACAAGCAAGGAGGCAAGAACTCTGTTCCACTCAGGCTCTTAATAAAACAGGCACTAGCAGGAACACTAGAAAAATGATTCCATACCTTGAATTCTTCTTACCAATTAAATGATATTATTCCTTTTTATTTATGTACTTATTTAGTTTAAGATGGGAACAAATTAAATAAACTGCAAAGCTAGAATAAGTGACATAATACACAATAGCTTTCTGTATTTAAAATATGACGTAATCCTGGACTACATATTGTACATATTATTCTAAGAGCCTCATTTCATGATGAATGTAAAGCTCAAGGAGTAAATTTGGAACAACTCTCCATGCATCCAAAGATACATTACTTGAATACCATTTTTGCAAATGACTTTAATTTTGAACTAGCAGATATATCTCTGAACATGGTCAAATTTGGGGAATATTATTGTGATGTAGCTGAAACCTAGTAAATTGCGGGTTTTTTTAAAACATGACCACATAACTCAAAATAATCAAATATTTATACACCTACAGTAACACACATGAATTTTATAAAAAAATAGCCTGCTGCAGCTGTAGCATGTGCGTATTATTTTAAATACTAATCATTATTCTGTTGTTTCTTGTTAAAAATAAAAAAATTAAATACTTTAATATGAATATAAAGTAACAATTCTACAGTTAGGTCCCAGCCCTTCAATTTAAAATGTATGGGCAGACCCCTTGCACATATGCTGGGATCCATCCATGTGTCAGAAATTGCAGGATCAGGGTCTAAATCCTCCATGCGTGCTACCAGCTACAAACGTACATATCACGTGAGGGTTATGGACATGTTTTTTATAGATCTGCCTTATGTGCCAGACAGGTTAAATCTATCAATGTTCCAGGTAATGTATAATTATTTTATATTCAAACATAAATTTAGAGGAACTTTTTTTTTTTTCAGAAGGGGCACAATTCAAAATGAATTTTTTGGGACATATCTGGTTGCTTGTTTTTCTCTCTCTCTCTGCGTGATTTTTATCACCAGCACTTGGCTTTACCCACATAAGAGGGAACCCACCTTTTTGAAAGTCTGCACATGAGACTCACAGTAGCTGCCTGACTCCCAGGAACATTAAGTGGAGTTACAGTGATTGCCCCATTAAAAAAATTGCCAGCACATTTTACATAGTTAGCATGGTTATTTCTCATACTAACTACTGTACTGTTGTATCTCAGCTACTTGTGTAGTAACTGTTGGCAAACTGATTTTTAATAATTTAATTTATTATTAATAATAAACTGTTGTATGTGTATAAACTCAATACGTTGAAGGACAAATTCTGTCCTCGTTGAAACCTATGAACAATTCTCATGGACTTCAGTGGGGCCCAGGATTTGGCCCTTAGATAACATGAACTCCAGATGTTTTGAATCTGGAACTGTCACCATCTCAGGGGTTAAGCATAGTAATTGGGCCTCTTTTCCTGTCAGGAAAGCATCAAGTGGGAAAATTATAATGCAAAAATGACAATTTTAAAAACAGGAGACCAGTTTTATTTTAAGAATAGTTTTACTGCCTCTGTGTTCTCAAATCTGTCCCCCTTTTTCAAAATCATGATTATGGCTCTCAGATATTGCAGTGGTGGTGTAAATAAATACCTAGATAAATAGATTTTTGGTGGTACCAAAACTAAAAATCAATCAACATATATTGGCCTAAAATCTGTCCTCAGTTTACACCAGTACACATTATTCACAGGACTCCACTACTGGAACTGAAAGCAGAATTTGGCCCAACACAATTTACGAGGTTTTCTTTAAATTCATATCAAATTCTGAATATAGCACCATATATGAAACATAACTGATAGCATTCCATGTGAAAGCACTAAGATTTGAAGAGTTTCATATGGCAGAATGTGATTTGAAATCAAACACATTCTACATAGTGCTGAAAAGGATCAGTGAAATGTTTGAGGCAAAATCCCCCCTTCCAATCTAATCTAGTGTATAATAGAACTGCCATTATCACCAGTGGGAGTTTTGCACATGTAACAAGCATAGAATATTTAACAGATGCTGCAGTGAAAATTGGAAAGCAGGATTTTTCCTTGGTTTGGAAGATCTAAACTGACTTATGGGATTCATCAAGTATTTTTGATTTCAGAAAGCTGAAACAGATGTCATAACATTAGCACTGGCTGCATTTCTGTCTTGGTATACAAATACAGGAATGACTTGCATACTAATAACATTAAGTGAGTGGGGTAATATCCTTTATTGGGAGAAGTTGGTCCAATGAAAGAGAGATTACCTCACCCACCTTGTCTCTCTAGTGTCCTGGGATTGACATGACCGCTCCACCATTGCATACTAGTGTCACAGAAATAAATCTGTTCCCAATTTATTCAGCAATGGATATGCCTGTTCGTCCTAGAAAGGGGTAACTGGTAATTGGAAAATCAACATTGGGACCAAGGGAGGCAAATTTTAAAGTACATATTACACAGCCTATAAAAGTCTTGAGAAATGTGAAGTATGTTATAAAAATGTTTAAGGGTCATATTTACTTCTCTTGGATACATTTATGAGTCTCCCATTTTAATCACTAATCACTTCATGCACACGTGTCCAACAGCAAAATGTATGTATAGTAGTATTAACACAGGAAATATTACAGTCAAACCATTGGATGTATTAAAATGTTCATAATTCTGTGCATTCAAGCAACTATAAAAACTGTATACAACTAATGAATCTGTCATTTTCTGGGAAAAGGCTATGTTACGATTAAATACCAACCTTTCTGTTACCAAAACAAACAAAAAACCAAACTCTTGGAATAATATGTGAGTTGTACTATCTGTGGCATTAACCCTTGGAATTAGTTTGATCAAAATATTTCTTTCCACAAAATGTACCTTGTCTACTGTTATCTTATAAGATATACAACTGTTAATTGTAGGTTAAAATACAGTACTTGATTTGAATCATGATGGAAAATTTTAGATTGAACTGAACTTCACAGAGTTAACCATAACCTGGTATATTTCATGGGTATAGTATAGATGTAATTCTGTTATAAAAGTATTGTAGCTTCTGATGATACACTGTTCTGGACTTCACCAGTGAAGAAATTATATGTTTCACTTTCCTAAATCTATTTACAAATATAGGACCAGATTTTTTGAAAGAAGTTAGCACTCAGCAGAGATCTTTTGAAAATAGGGCCCCAACTATGGGTGCTCAGTGCTTTGATAACCCAGCCCCTAGCTTCCAATTTGGACTACTCAAACCAGAATTCTTAGGAATATGGTGAACCTCATTCTGTAAAATAATAATATACTGTATCTTATCATGTAGAGTTAGACGCCAAAAAACTCTCTCACCAAATTAGGGCCTGACTTACAAATATTTAACTTGACTTCAATAGGACTTCTCACAGTGCATAAAGTTAAATATGTGAGTAAGCCTTTGCAGGATTGGGGTCTTAATGCCTGATTCTGCTCCCAATGAAGTAAATGTCAAAATCCCTTTGGCTTCACTGTGATCAGAACAAAAGTGTCAGCTCCCTTAACTAAGAGTATGTCTGCCTTGCAATCAGATGGTATAATGGCGGCATGAGTAGACATACCCGAGCTGGCTTTGATCTAGCTAGAACAAAGCTAGCTTGAATAACAATAGCAGTGAAGCCAAAGCACCATGGGAGGCTGCATGGCCTACCCCCACCCACCCAGAATCCTGGGAATGTACTCAAGCAGCTACCACCATGCTGTCTTGCCTTCACTTCTATGGTTACTCATGCTACCTCCTGTGTAACTAGAGCAAAGCTGGCTCAGGTATGTCTGTACATGCTGCCTTCACACCACCTGATTGCACTGTCAGCATACCCTGGCCATCCACAGCATATTGTTATGTTAATTCCTTCAATGCCTTAAGATGTATCTTGTGTCCAACAACATGACAAACAGGCATAAGATCATGTGAATGTACAGTGGATGCCATTATAAAGGCAGCATCCAACACTTACCATACAATGGTATCTATGATACCATAACTTTTCCTGTGTTTAAAATATGAAATAATTCGGGCACCTGTGTGCTGACTCCATGGAATCATTTGGAAAATGCTGATGTGTTAATAGTGACCACTGTACATTATATTGTACATTTCACTGGCTTAGAGTTGCAGAGTGGTGGTGGAATCCCAATACAGCCAATGCTTGAGCATAATATGGGCCCCTTTCCCTTTACACAAGGTGAAAAACCTGAGGAGCAATGAGTAATACTGCTCTACCCAGCCATTGCCCTGCTACAAACATACCCCACCCAGAACCACTGCATGCATGCAGAGCTCCTGTGCAGCCTTCTAAGCTCCTAGCCCTGTCATGCGGAAGAACTATGCTGCTTCAGCTATACATAGAACTCGCTGTACCTGTGGAGCGGGGGGACAGTATTTGTCCTTAATAAGGAGTATGGTCCTGATTCAGAAAAGCATCCCTGTTCTGGGAGGGTGCTTAAGCATGTGATTAACTTTAAGATTAAAGTGATTAAAGCTAAGTATGTGCATAAGTGCTTTCCTGAGTAGGAGTGGTCTTAACCATGCTATTAAGTGCATTCCTGAATCAAGGCCTATGATGTCAACTACATTCTGTGTACAAGTTTCCATTAAAAAGGTCACCATTTTCTAGAAGTGGTACCTGACATGTGGCAGTTGTCTTCTATTGAGAGCATTGGAAAATACTGTGCTATCTGCATTATAGTGCTGTAATTGGTGGCAAATGCTAGCAACCACTCAACTCATGTTAGCTATCACCTTTTGCTCAAGGGAATAAAAATATTTTCTATTTGGATTCTGTATATTATTACAGAACTTCACTGAATCATAATCTAGATAAAAATAGACTGGGTCAATGTATAATCTAACCATTCTCCTTCAGATAATATAATCAGTTATCACTTCTGACAACTTCCAGCTTCAGCACCTTCCAAATAAAAATCCCAGACAGATATTCTAGAAAAACTTGCTTTATGTAATATATATTAAGAAAAAATATATCTATTGGGCACAATTTACCAAAGCAAGCATAAAGGTATAAAATATTATCTTTTAAATACTTCACATGCTAAGAATATAAATTTGAAGTAAAATATGTATATTCGTTGAAGAAATGACTATTGCAAAAGGTGCACAGTCTAGAAATACAATCAATAAATTGATTATCGTTAGCGATCTCACTTTCCCGCACCTCCAAAAATGCTATTTTTGAATTATTCTTATCCCTTAGCACATTTGCAGTATATCTCATAAGTTTTAATTTGTTATGGAAAGAAATGACTGAGCAAATGTAACAGAAATTGCTATATATTTTCTAAATATTAAAGATTTTAAAATGAAGATGAAACCATTCAAATTATTTATTTAATTTTAATTATGTTTTTGTGGCTGTTTGTGGTTATGTATGTGTGACAAACATAAGTCACATAGTTGTTTAAGATCATTAATGTACCACTAATAAAATTTTATCTCTGTTTTGTTTGGGGTTTTTTGGTTTTCTTTTTGTAAAGAAACATACCAGAAAAACAGAAAATAAATACTTTTTAAATTATTTGTTTGTGTTGAGTTGTTCAGTGTGTGTTGTATTGTTATAAGCATGTCTGAGAGACCATCAGAATATCTAACTATGCTGGGGTAATAAACTACTCCTGAAAGCCTCATACTATCAACTGGAAGAGGTAACTTGATGGAAGTGGTCATCCAACACAGATTACCATAACCAATTTCCTACATGATCATATATCGTTTTTTACCATTGATGACTAATCACCATGGTGTTGTGGTTTTGAATTACTTTATTAAGTACATGTATATATTTTTGGCCCAGTTTTGCAGTTGTTTTTTTTTCATAAGAGAAATTCCCATAGACTTTGATAACAGTTAAAGGCATGCAAAGACTGGAGGAGGGTGGTGCTTGTCTGTGCCTTTGTGCATGCATGCACGCTCTGCCAGATGTGGTACAAGGATTCGCTGCATATTTAATAGCTATTAACTATATCACTGGATTGCCAAATAATCTAGTAATCCAATTCATAGAATTCTGCATCATTTAAATCAAGGAGACGTATAACACTGACTTCAATGAGAGCAGGATTAGACCCATAGAAGCTAAAGATGCATAAGATTTACTGTATTCAGCAAGGCATTTAAGCAAATACCCTAACTTTAAGCATGTGAGTTAAAGGTGCTTTTGTAGCTCATTGAATTGGCACCTTAGGGAAGGTCTACACCACTGCTTATGTTGATATAACTTACATCACTCATCAGTGCAGTCAGGGCCGGCTCCAGGCACCAGCTTACCAAGCAGGTGCTTGGGGTGGCCACTTCGGAGAGAGGTGGCACGTCCAGCTGTTTGGCGGCAATTCGGCGGACGGTCCCTCACTCCTGCTCGGCGCGAAGGCCCTCCCGCCAAATTGCCGCCTGTAA